AATACAAATCAAGCAGCAGCAGTATAACAACAGCAAAACTCCACAAAAACAGCTTGCAAACTGCTGCCTGGATTTTTAAAGTTGCACAGCCAAACAGATCATTTCACGAATAACTACTTGCATAGATGCAGGGCTCATCAAAAATTGTAAATTCATTTTTTTCCTGCTTGAAGACAGATACGTGGCTTCAACCACTCACTCTGCAGCCTGTTAAATAAAGACACAAGGTAAATTGTTACTTCAGCTTGTTTGAGGGGGAATGAAAGCAGTGAGGACTTCAAAGGGTTTCTGAATACATTATGGAAATTATGTAAAATGTTCTATGAAGACAATTATAAACCGTGAGTTTAAAAGAGAAATTTGGGCACGTGAACATTCTGGTATGTGTTGATGTATGTAGGTGTTTAGCGAGTGACGAATAAACACAAAATAACAACCTATGTTTATATGTGAGGCTACTGTGCGATAACTGCAAAGGTAATTGAGCTGGCTGAGCTGTTCCACTATGGAAAACAGCTTTGGCTCCCATTTTGACCTTTGCCCTCACCAGACGCTGCCTTCTAATTTGGCTAATTGTGTTTTTCCCAGGGGATCCATATACACGGCTGTCAATGAATGGGTGTCAGGTCAGTGTTAAAACACAGGTCACAACACAGACATGTGGAAAAGAGTTCCATCTTTTACTGTCAGAGTAGCATTAAAGTATTAAATCTGCATATTGATTACAATCTCCACTTTATACTGATGTTTTTATGTAATTACTAAAACCCCTAAAAGGATTAGTAACTGTATGCATATCCTGTATGTTTCGATGGCTGTCCCCCACCAAGTACAGAAACCATTAAATTTTAACCAATGAGCTGCCAGCATAAGTCTGCAAGAATTCATTCCAGTTTATTTGTATTCTCACAAACTGAAATCCATCCAACTTATTCAATGGGGAATTGAGCATATCCAGCAGAAACCCATGCAAGCACGAGGTGAGCATACAAACGCCAACTGACTTGGTGGTTAAACCGCTCACTATGAGGCCAAAGTGCTAACCGTTACACCACCATGCCACCACAAAGTGAAATGCCCAATGCTTTAATGTAGCATTAGTCATGTACTGTATATGCAACTTATGTGATGCAGTCATTAGATTAGATTAGATTAGATAGAACTTTTTTTTTTCATTGTAAATAAACAATAATAATAATGATAAGGTCAGTTCCTTACAACCTAGTGAGCTCAAATACTTTTCTGGGCTGGTGTGAGGAGCATACAGTTGTTTCTCAGGTATTCAACGATCAGATGAACACATCCATTGTTAAACTATAGTCTCACTCTTGATTTGTTATGTTCTGGTAGTTGCTAAGGAATCCCTTTTCATCATATTTTAATGAAACCCGTATGTTCTGACACACAGGGATACCATTTCTGTGCAGATTTTGAAACGCGAGGAAGAACAAAAACCCATTAAAGCCCACATTATGAGGTAGGAGGGCTGACAGATGGCACAATGAAACAAGCATTGTGGGGAGTTTTTGTTTTTTCTTTTGCACACTTGTTGTTGTTGTTGTTTTTTTTAACTTTATCTTTTCTGTTAACACTTGGTCAGGTTTAGGCATTAAAAATCGATGTCCGGGTTTAGGCATTAAAAGGTTAAATCTTGCGTGTGTTTACCTGCGTACCCCTGTGTGTTTGCGGGGTGTTGGTGGGGTTTAAATACGCATTCAAAAGCAACTGCTCTGTGCAGATGTTCCAAACTAATGATCTGTTTTCAATCTAAACAAATTCCAAGTATCTACTAACGCACACTCACAAACTCCAACACAAGCTTGATCTCTCTCGTCTCAGACTGACATGTAAGTTCCTTCTTTGTTTAAACTAAAGATCTATTGTGTGTAATTGCTGTCACGGTCAGGGGATCAGCAGGCCGCTGACTAGTAGTGTTTTCTCTCTCTCTCTCTCGCCAGGGCGGAACTCATGGTGGGTTCACGCCCTCGGCCCACGCCCCTCTGAAGAGGAAACACCTGGGCCTCATCAGCGCAGCCAGCATTTAAGCCAGGGAGTGGCTTCTACTCATCGCTGGATCGTTGTGTGTGACTCGCGTCAGTGCAGCCCGGCTCTGAGCAAGTTCTCTTTTGCTTCCCTGTGCAAAACGTCTACCGTGTGTTTCCCTCTGTACATAGATCCCCTGCATTCCCCGAGTGGATTCCCTTTTGTGTGAGTGTTTGGAGAGAGAGCCAGAAGAGGAGCAAGTGTCCTACCTGGATTTCCCCGGAGGCCTTTCCCTGTCACCGCTTTGTATATAGCACAATCCCCTGCACTGTTTGTATATACACCTGGTGGAACTGTAATAAATACCGACTGTGCCTCTGAGTCCTGCGTGTGAGTCCTCAAGCGAACCGTGACAATTGCATTGCATCACATATAATGTTTGGTAGATTTTCTTCTCATTTGTGAAGAACTTTTTCTTCTATTCTGTTCTCAGACTTTTAAAAATAGCATTTAAAGAAGTGCTAACTTGTGATTTGAATGATCAGCAGGAAGATATAGGTGATACTTTAGTTTATAATTTAAGATGCACACATCGTTTAACTGTGATAGACATTAAGTGCAGGCTGAGCATAGGTATTATAGATATTATCCCACAATAACACCTCTTTTTTGAAGAGTGTCATCATTATATTAACCAACTCCAACAAGGTGGAGATCTAAAAGTTTCTCGTGGGACTATTTCACTGAAATAAAACATTTCTGTATGAAAACTTTTGTACCTCATTAACTTATTAACTAAATTTGGGAAACTACTATATACTCTATAGAGAGATTGGGTGGAGCAGTTAACGCTTAACTGCTTACACAGTTACACAAGCTGTTGGTAGTCTACCTTAAACCACCTACCAGACTAAAACACACACACCGGTATACCAAGCTTTCAGGATAGATACAAATACAGACTGGGGTCAATTCAGGGAATTCAGAATGACACACTCAGATTTTGTTGTCCTTGCCTGACTGGATGCTTGGTTTCTGTCGGTCCGCGGGTGTTTATCACAGCATGGGTAGATTATAGTTCAAAATAAATGAACTTTGACCGCAGTGTATGTGCGCTTTGCTCGGTGAAGTGGCAAAGTTTTGTAGTGGAAGCCACTGGAAATAATGGGCTTCATAGTGCAGTAGTACCATTGTTGCATCATGACTGAAAACCCTTAAACACAGCACAAGCAGCAGCTGAAAAACAGTGGAACAACACGTCATCCAGATGTGGTAGCATAAAGGAAGTCAGTTAAAATAGAGGGTCCATGTACTACTAAACTGTAGCATATCATCCTGGATTAATAATGATATGTCAAATGAATCTGTTGATTCTAAAGCATCACAAATACACAAGTTAGTCAAAATCTTACTGTTATTAGTACACAGTGATTAGCTGTAGAAGATTATAATCACCTGAAACCTACAAAGCTGGAAGGAATGTAGGAAGTATTTTACAATTCAGCATCCCAGCAGTGAAATCAAACATCATGACTAACCTCTTTTTTCAACAGCAGCATCTCTTCCTACAAACATATCATAGAGATATCTGTGATAAAGACCAAAGAGAGACATCTATATACACGCAGAAAACTTGGACTGGCCCACTTATTTTGGTGTGAATACTCACACATGAGAGATGAGTTGTGGAACTTAAAACACAGAGCTGTTGATCCAGGTGCCATCTGATTATTTTTGGGAGTGTCAGGAAATCAGTGATAGATGTTCTCGGATAACCTTATCACCCCGTTAGACCTACCCCACAGATAGATAGCCTGTACTGAGAAAACAAGAACTCATGAATCTGTCACTGCCAGTGTAACTTGATCTTTTCGCTCTACTAATCTTTGATTACATGAGTGATAATGGCTGAACTCCGAGGTGAAAAAGAGGGTTTAAAGTATGAGAAAAGACTCAGTAAGCATGCTGTATATTCTAAATAAAGTTGTTGGGGAAAAATACCTTCAGTCTTCACTGAGGCATTAGAGAACTATTACCTTTGTATCACTTACTGATTAATTAATTCAATAGTGCCCTCTCTCTTCTGCCTCTGTGCAAGTGTGTGTGTTTGTGTCTGCACCTGTGTGGTCCAAATGAAGTTTAAGACACAAGTAGGCATCTAGAGAGGAGTAACCTTCCACACACCATGCACGAGACACACCATCTGTTCTAGTGAGAGGTAACAAAGTCACCGTCTGTGCAAATGTTCGCCATGGAGTCTGGCACCAATTGAGCATCACTCTATTTGGCATGGTATCGGTGACACACTTGCCAGGTTGTTGTGACTACATACTCCTACATTTCCTTGCATGTTTAACAGTACAATAAAATTGTATGGTGCAAAGTTTAAGCTTTAAGCTTTAATAAATCACATTACACTTCTTTAACAGAGAAACACAATCCTGTTACTTAAAAGGAGACGGTCTAAGCTGTTTCAAATCTGTCCTTAGTTCATTAAGGTGCAAAAAAAGGGAGAAGAGTGAGAAAGCAAATGTCTCAAGCGTTCACAGAGAACAGCTACTGTTCTGTTTGCAATCAAGTACAGACATGATGTCACTATCCTGGGAGCTGTATGTATGGGATCCTTTTAAGTCAACACTGTGAATGTTTGAAGGTGCAGAGAGAAGCCATCCCCATTAGTGAACACTAAACATGAGCTTTTGCTTCTAGTTCTAACCCACCGTCCTCCTTAAAACAAGTGATGTGTTGTTATTTATTGTGTTTGTATGTTGTTGTATGCAGTTTATTTACGCTCGTCATGAACATGAATACCATGCTAACTGTTCTTTTTCCAGGGTGGAATGATTGCACAGTATGCATCTTTAATTAATCCAAGAAGACTTGGGTGCTGAAGTTTGAACGTATGTTTATGTGACAGGTGAGACCTCAGTCTGGGAACCGCCCCTGGTAGGCGGGGCTAGGTTGTTCCCTTTTATAAGCACAGGTGCAGGTAATTAGTCCATCTGTTGTGTGAACCTGGAGCTGTGTGAATACCTGGTCTACGCTGTGCTATTTGGCCTTTTTAACTTTTCTATGATAGCTTGGTGTGGATTGCATAGCCTTCTGTTGGAGCGGTAGGTCACAGAAACCATTCTGCTTGAGTTTTGGTAGAGTTTGGTAGAGGTTTAAAGTTATTTGCACCCCTGTGGAAACTTGTAGTGGGCTCCCACCTCTTGGATGTTGATTACCGATACTTACTTTAGTTACCTGGACACAGGTAACTGAAAAACAGACAAAGTGGCAGAGACATTCCTTCTGAGGTAAATTCTTCAGTGTAATTGATGTCCTGTTTTCATTTACAGCTTGCCAAGCTGCTGCTTTGCCAGGGTGGATTTCTGGCTGTTGGGCCGAGGTCCTTGTACACTGCTGGCTGTTGTAATTTGTTTTAAAACTGGTTTAACTTGACAGCGAATAGCTGATGACAATTTTAATGGGTGTTGCTGTTTATTTGTTTATTGTTATTTCATTGTATCAGCAGGCACCAATTAATGTATTGATTGTGGCTTAATCCTTATCATTGCAGACAGTGAAGGTGCTGCGTGGAAGATGTAAACCTCTGATCACAACTGTAAATAACCCAAATATGTTAGAAATGAATGCGAGAGAAAAGGTAAAGTAATGCGCAAGTTCTTGCTGAGCACATTTTCCTGCTGGGAAAAGTCAGATGATCGGCAGCAGAGGAGAACAAAAATCTTCAACTTGGGCAACAAAGTAACAAAATTAAATTGAAATTGTTTGCTGTGGTGGATTATCCGCCCTGGTACAGGTTCAAGTGAGTGTCATTTGTTTACAACAGCAGAGAACAAATGGCAGTTAAAGCTTCTTCTCAAGGACAGAAAGGTCTGATCTCATATTATGGTAATAGGTATACAAGAGAAGTGATTAGTACAACATAACTGAGAACAAACTGGCAGTAATTAATAGCAAAGTCACTATTTAAACATTATTGCATTGTGCATATAATGTTTCAATTCAGTCGTTGTCTTGTGGCTATTCACTTGGCTGCTTTATCCTTAGTACGGCCTGGGGGGTAAAGGTTGCTGTTGTGGTGACTACTTAGAGCGCACATGTGTGAACTACTGTAAATGGCATGCTAAGCTAATGAAGCCTGTGTGTAAGTTCAAGAAGGTAGCTGTGTGGTCACTGATCTGCCTGCTTCCTGTTTGGCTGCTGCTCTTATTGTTTCAAAAAACCCTTTCACGTGTTGGCAATTTCAATACTCGCATCTTTACTCTATTCCCATCATCTTCTTGTCAGCCTTTTTCCTGGGCCAGTCATCCTCCACGATGCGTGCTCTGTCAGACTCTTGTGTGACGCTATCCACCCCCCAACTCACCCCCTTTACCACATTCATGTCACTCAGATCTCAATCTTCACCTCCACCAGCATCTACACTCTGGTGGGTCCCGTTCTTAATCCAGTCACTGCTGGGATTCTGTTCTGCCATAAGTTGTCACTGGAGTCTAAACACCACAATGATTTATCTTAGTTCTTTATCTCAATAAATCACGTTTAAGTCATTTCAAATGCTCTTTCCTTATTGGAATATAGTGTTTGGGGATCTAACATTAATGAAGATAACAATCTCCAACCAGCTGTATATGTTACAGAGACGGAGTACATACCCTCACATATGATTGGGCATAATTGTCTGCTTGAAAAACTGATCCATCCTAATCCCCGGCAACCTCCTCCAACTCATCCAGGACAGACACCCAGACGTTCACGTGCCTGAAGTGCCCAGGAGACATCCTGATCAGATGCCTGAAGCAGTTTAACTTGCACCCCTAATTCCCCCTGGAATGATCAAGCTCTCCACCCCGCTCCAACAGAGAAGTCAGACATCTCCAGAGGAAGTCTACGGCTGCTGGCTGCATCCACAATTCCATCCCTTTAGTGCCTACCCAAAAATCATTATGTCAGGAGTCTTCCTCACCTGTTGTCTGCATCAATATACCACTAGACAAATCCATGGACCAAGCTCTTGCTCTTCTATCCAAATTTTAGTTTTAGGCTACTAGATAGCCCTGCGACAGACTGGTGATCTGTCCAGGATGTACTTCTTGCTCCATTGCACCTGGGATGGGCTCCAGCTGCATCCCATGACCCTGTAATGAATAAGTGGAAGAGAATGGATGAATACAACATCTATCTGAGCTAAACTAAAGCGTTTTAATGTAGCTCTCTAAATTCTTTGAGTAGTGAAAAAATTCTTTCTCACTGTCAAGTCTTTTTTAAAAATTTTTTTTATCAGCTGTAGGCCTTTCTTTTACTTTTTGAACTCCTGGTTTCGCATTACGATAGATGCTCCTCAGGACAGTATGGTGTATTCTTTGTTGTACATGCTGCCTCACTGTTGTACTTCATCAGCAATAAAACTAAACTACAAACTATGGCACAGAAAAACAATTAACTAAACAAATAAAAGTATCCATCAAATAGGACACTCTAGACTAAAGTAAAAGACAATGAGGATAAAATGCTTTGATTTTTCAAGCAGAAATCAGCCTGCAGTGAATATAGCTGCTAAATGGTTTCAAGAAATATTTACAAAGCTTCTTTTCATCACCCAGTTTGGTGATTTTGACATTAGCGATTATGGGTACAATAACTAATCCCTCATTAATGTTGTCCTCACTGCTCTGTGTCACAAGGATAGGAAATCAATGAACCTTCGCCTGAAGCAAAAACTGAGAGCTGTCCATCTCCCACCTTTAAATGGCACCTCCTCTCCAAACTGAAAGATCGTTATAGAAGTAAGAAATTCTGGATCTACTGGCAGTAACTTAGTCTCTAAAGGGCAACATAATCATGTTTACCAGGCAGGTCCATCTACAAGAGAACTCCTAGTGGAGGGGATTAGGATGCCATTTGGTCAACATTCCCTAATTTGAGCATAAAATAGACCTTTCTGAATCCACGATAGACTTGGAAGGAGCCGGAGAATAATGGGTTATGAGAAAACAGACATTTTCTCTCTAATTCTTCCATTTACTTGGCTTTTTCATTCTTCCAAATTTAATGTTAATTTGAATTACAAATGCAGATGCACATTGCAAAGAAATCCCCATGGCACTGAGCTGCTCTTTAAAGATTCAGAAATTAGTTTCAGAGCCCATCTTCCCATGTTTAAGGACTCCCAATGGAAATGTTAATGTATCGTTCCAGAGATTCTCACTGCAAACTTGTTAGGGAACTAAAATTACGATCGTTGAGCCATAAAGACATTTTACACTTTTTCCAATGTGAGACTTCAGCAAAAAATAAGAAGTTGAAACAACTAAGGCTCTGAAAATGTTTAAATGAATGTTGCTGGCTCATGTAAGTCCATTGAAGCACTACAGCACAGCAGCCACAGGCAGTAAAGATAATACTAACAGGCGGAAATGGCCCTTCCGAGGTCTTCATTCTGTCTTCCATACACAGCTGGATCATCCTTTTGGACCCTTGGTTGCTTTATAGACACAAACACGTGCACAAGTATACAGTAAAGCATACACACTGAGGCTGATCCAATACTGTGACTCTTTTGTTATCTGCTCCTCACCAGCTTTGTTTGCATGGATCATCTGGAAACTCTATTTGTTGCTGCCGTTTTGGAGATGCACTAAAGTGGTCAGTCAACAAACTCTAAATGCACATCCTGGTCCACTGATGTTCTCTTCCCTCTGAACCATAAAACGAACAGATGGTGCGAAAGTTGAATTCTTAACACTAAAGAATCAATAACTGTCTGTTTCAAAACAGTGAACAGCTCTGAAAATTGAGCATTGTGGGTCTGGCTGTCAGTACTGACCGGGAACTGCATCCACCTCTCTGTAGGGGGCAAGCATTAAAGGTTTTCCGTGAAACAAAAGAGAAAACTTTATAGTTTGATAAGACTGCAGTGTATTAATATTGTTTGACTTTCACACTGGTATCCAGGTGTTGTCCTGTGATTAGAAAATGATTTTTCTGTCTTCAGCCATCAGATGGTGTCTCTCGTATTTACCTTATGTGTGTGTCTATATTCGCTATCTCATCAGTATCTTCTAATAATGATGTTAGGTTAGCATATTTCAACTGTTAGAGCTCGTACAAAGACTCCTAATCAAACAGACTTCTGGATGAGAATGCCCCGAATGTGCCTTTTTTGAGAGTCGGTATTGTTATTAACCTTTTGTTCGGCTTCTTTAATAACATTTGTGGAGCTCAAACACTTTCTTTATAACTGGCTGCAAAATCTCATACTTTTTATTATATAAGCAATTTGAATGGCAGGTGTTAGACCTTGAGGTGATGAGACAGGACAGGGAAGTGAACAGTAGGAATTATAAAAAGGGAGCTCTTTTTATCTCTTAATGTTTCATGGAATTCAGGTAGCGTTAAAAGTATAGAGTCAACTGCTTGAAATATTCTGCATTTTTTGGGTTAGAAAATCAGAAACTGTAAGGAAAACACGAGATGCTCAATAGTATCACAGAGTAAGTGAAGACACAGTTAACTACTTTCGCCACACCGTAGGTCCTCTGAGTCATAACATTATAGTGTTTCTGTGAATTAACGTCTCATTTTCACCGCTAAGCACTGACCACGTAAGCATGCGGTTTAAAATGTCCCTTCCTACACAAACAGTCCCCCCTCCTCCCCGTCGTTGGCAGTGGTTCTCCCCAGCACTCTGCATCTCTCCAGCAGCGGACTCAAGGACCTGTGCGACCACCTCGACGTGGACCGTACAACGCACAGGACAACTTCCCCTCACAATATTACGCATGGCTCTGCCTTTGCGCAAAAGCGCGACTCTAACAGCGACTTGGAAGTAACTGATGGGATTGTAAGACAAAAAAGACAGGGACAACTAGAAAAAGACGATTTGAGGATTTTTCAAGAGGTTATTCTCTTTGCGCAAATAATGATCTCCAAATGCATAAAGGGGCACTTCATTCTTACCGTGTAATTATCCTGCTGTAGGTGTAGCTCCGACGCATAACCAGAAATTCACATTTGAAACGGAGATGGATCTGTGGGGAGTTTATCTCTTTCATCTTATAACTTTGGGTGAGTAAAAACTTGTCTTTTCTATTAGAGCACCAATTAACCAATGTCACCGGTCCTCGCCCGGGAAACAAAGTAAAACAATCACGGTTCGGGTTTTGATTGCAAAAAGCTGATGAAATGAAGTTGGAAGGAGTTCATCGGTCGCCCCCTCCTTCAGCCTTTAGCACGGCTGTATGATCACAACTGTATTTCAAATCTTCCCGTAAAATGGCATTAAATTAATCAATAACTCAAGAACGAGAATGATAAATTAGCGCTCTTCCTCAGTCCGTGTGGTCGGCTATGCAAAACGGATATGCCTACGTGCACGTGCTTATTTGTGAGCGTCCGTGCGTGGATGCTTTTGGTGTAGGTGCATTTTCCCACTACAGGTATCGATGTGTATAGTATCTTTGCCTTAACGTTTGCATTTATACGAAATACACCATGATACATATCCACGTGACATGTGTTCATATACTGAAAAACGTTAAATGGCTCTATCAGTCAAAATATCCTTAAATATACATTTTCAAACTTTAAATAGCAGAATTTCTTCTTTTTCTTTTCAAGTAAAGCCTCTAAAAGTGACCATCAGCAGCAGTACATCAGTCATTGCTGTGAGTGTCACTGAGGTTCTCTGTGTAATTGAATGGAGCTGGAATATTGATTTTTTTCTTTTTTTTTTTTTTTTGTGGTAACCGTCCACTGTCTTCAAAGAGAAGAGCAGCTTGTTGTTGGGTCTCAGTGTCTCTTTGTCATTATACACAAATGTGTCAATCTCAGTCCTGCTGCCACAGTGTTAACTATTATGATTATACCCACTGATGGCTGCAACTCAAGGCAGCATCATGCCCATTTTAATTGGCACCAGGTTTCCTGCTTAACAAAGACAGTAAAAAGCACTGTATCCAACTCCTTTATTCATTATTAATATCCACATTGGAGGTCTTCATTAGAGAAATGAAGGAAGATGCCAGTAAGAAATGCTGAATGGGAAAACAGTTTGCTCAGCTTTTCTCGCCATATTGACCTGTGATGAAAGCACTTTATTTTGGCATGATCTGGCTAGTAATGGATAACTGGAAAAAGACAGAGATATGACCATATGCCTTGTAGCAACTCCCAATTTATATTTCACTTCACAAACCTGCATATTCATGTTAAGATTTGAATATTTTTCATAAAAAAAGCATGTCTTTATTCAAAAGAAAGTCTGTCTAAGTCTGCTTAGCCATCTGCTTAAATTAATCAGCCAAGATCCAACTGTAAAAGGTCAGAAAATACAGCCTGGTTGGATGACTCAACTCATTTAGTCAGCCTTGTGGGCAGAAAAATAAAATCACACATTACCAAGCTCTCCTAACTATTCCAGATACCTGCAAGTCAACACAGAGTGATCTCAAAATGACCACAATTTTGCAAGAAAGTGCTCTTAAACCGAACACCAGGAGACGTAGTTCTCAGCTGGGAATTGGGCCATTAGAGGTTGGCGCTGTCAGATTATTCCTCTGGGTTTGTTGCCTCACTTTGCTGTGAAATCAAGTTAGAACGGTGAAAGATTTTTGTTCCAGCAAAGAACCACACAGATTTACACCATATTAGGATGTAGTAGGGCACTTTGAGGTGTGTGTGTGTGTGTGTGTGTGTGTGTGTGTGTCATTTCACTTTTATTGTTCCCTTGATAAGAACCAGATGAGTTTCCTTAGGGGCTGAACTAATGAGTCAATTAATTGGATAGAGTTAGTTGACAGCTTTAAACTCTTAAGTCTATTTTCCCGGGAACATGCATGCTTTCAGGTTATCACAATCTAAGCGTTTTTCTCCTTTGTTTTTTTCCCCCTTTTCCTTTCAAACACTTGGCAAAACAAATCTGACAAGCTGTTTGATTTTTAGTACAAATAAGTGACATATTTTTCAACGATGATAATAATAATAACAAATTAGTTGCAGCTTTATGCTTGTTGGCTTGGTTAAGAGCTCTGGAAATGACTTACAAATGGTTCCATTGGTGCTTTTTCATTAATTAGCTGCACCTGGCGAAATCTGGTTGGTTGGTCTGTGACGAGACACAAACAGTGACGATGTTCGGTCCAGACCTGCAGGTACTGAGGAAGACTTTAATCTCGGAGAGGGTCAGTTTATGCATTCAGAGGACTTATGGAGTTCAGAGTGAATCAGTCTTGCCTGCGCTGTTATGGAACGCTAAAATGAATCTGAGGCTAGTAGTTGACTGTCCGAGCTTTGATTTTATCGTGCGTGATAAATGTGCGCTGGTGTTCACTGACGGGTCCACACCGAAGCTCAAAATTATATAGAATTAAACACAATTGTGCTGTGCAAGTCTTTTTAAAGGTTAGATAAGCTTTTCTTTTAGTATAAACTTGAAATGGAAAATTGTATGCCACAGTTACATCACAGTGATTTCATATCAAGGTGCAACTCCCAATTGCAGGACAAGGTGATTGCATTTAATATTAGTAGGTCTAACTGAGTGAAAGCATCAGAAGTGATCTCTAGTGGCACTCAGACTAGTAATAGTTGCAGTGAAAACTCAATATCAGGTGACAAGAATGCAAATGTATTTCTCTTCTAACATTTTTCCTGATTAAAGCCTGTTACAGCGTTTTAGTTCATCTTAAGAAGAAAGTGCACAGAATCTATCATTTAAAAGCACCTTCTTCAATCACAGCTGCTTCAGCACCCGGTTTAAGCCTACCATCATGCTATATTCTCTGATTTAATGGTTTTGACATTGTGGGATATGACCTGTGTCTTTAATGGAGATAGATAAGTACTGCCACGCATGCTATTACCTAGCATACTGGCCGGCCTCTCGTAGGGGGATTTGTCATGAATCTCATTTGAAGCAGGTAGTCCCCATGGCGAAGAGACAGCCCATCACAAGCTTTCTTCTATCCTACGTGATGAAAGCCCATGCTTCTTCTCAATGCCACTTTAACAAAGAAATCCCATGTAGGACACAAGATGCATGTGAACCCTAACATCAATGACACGTAAGGGCTAAAAACCCTGTCTCCATTCCCATTCTGGCTAAAACACAGATTATATAACACCTTCTGCAATTTAAAGGGACGTTGTTTCACTGCAGCTAGAAATTCAACAAATTTTATGTTATGTTTAGCAATAGTTTTATCACTCTATAAAGAATGAGCTCATTAACAGCTTAGCTTCCACAGACATTTATATGGACGTCTTTGATCGAGACAAGAATAGTTTATGTCAGAGAGCCTGAAATTTTCATAGCACTTCTCTTAGTGGCCCCTTGGTATCCAAATAACATCCAAGAGAGGAACAATTTCACTTTCTGTATTTCTTGGAACACAGCGTCTGTTTCACTGTGTAATTTAGTACTGATTGTAGGGAAAATGTAGCCTGGTTCCAGAGCTCATCACCACCCACACCTCTGATTTGTTCAGTGATTCAAATGAAGTGAAATAAAATGGGCAGGCAAGGGAAGATCAACTATTCAGATGGTAGTAAGCTAAACACACACACATTATGAAGCCAAGTATCCATTCTAAACTCTATTTAAAGGGAATCAGCAAAAACGAGTATACAGACTTTTCCACATTTCCAGCTCATAACAATAAAAATAATAATAATGGATTGGATTTATATAGCGCTTTTCCTAACATCAATGACACGTAAAAATAGTAGTTAGTTTACGTAAAAATAAACTAGTACGAAAAAATGACTTGCCAGCGTAATGTAATACAGCAACCCTGTAAACTGCACTACGAATTTCAAGCTGACTATACATCTACACTGGTTTAGTTTTAGTTGGTGGTATTGTACTTATGTTTTGTATTTTGTATCTATGCCATAAAAACAATATTCAGTTTTTCCCTGTGAGTTTTGAGCGTCCATCCATCCTTCCATACATATTCGTCCACTTTTCTTTCATGTCAGTGTCACAGTGGGGCTGGATCCCAGCTGTTATAGGGTGAAAGCCTGGTCACAGGTACCAGTTTGTCACACAAGAGAGCCATTCACACTCAGTCAGTTTACTATTCCCAATTAACCTAGTGTGCATGTCTTTGGGCTATGGGAGGACGCCAGAGTACTCTGGGAGAACCCACGCAAGCTTCTCCCTCCCAGCTGGCAGATTGAAGTCCAGGACACTCTTGCAGTGAGGCAACAGTGCTGACTGTGCTGCCTGCAGTTTCAAAGACCATTTAGGAAACTTAGTGGCAGCTGTTAGCTTTAAAATTATGTCCTCTTTTATTTCATTTTCTTCACTGCCTGACTGTTTAACCAAAGCCACAAGACAGTTATAATTTCACTGTTACCGTTTATTTTTAAATGTTAATATTAAGCACTTGTCAGTGTTCTTTGTTGGAGTAGTGAGGTGTACCGAAGCGATAATCATTTGGTTATCCAGTAGAAAAAGGACGTAAAGTACCATTTTGTACACAAAGCACTTTTTAATATAGAGCAGCAGGTGAGGACATAAGAGAATAAAATTATGGAATTCGGCACAAGTGAAAGTTGCATTAATAACTTAATGCATCTGTCCTAAATACACCTTTGCTGAGCTCTATATTATTAGACATCAAGAGTTAGTGTTGCATCTAGTGAACATCAGTCTACAGAATATAAAATTATAAAAGATGCGAGTTTCCATCTATCAATGCAGTACATTTGAGCAGCGGTCACTTGCTGGCAGAGCAGGAAGCTAAAAGCTTCAGAGACAGAAAGGCTGTTACACTTTTCCTGTGGGCTGCTTCTCTTCTCCTGCTATTCTAGGAGCCCTTTAAATGCCTTTGTATTTAATTATTGAGGTTTCAGAATCTGCTGTTAAACTAGCACATTGCCATTCATCTGATGTCAGTCAGTCTGATGGCTCCGACCTTTAACGGGGACATTATTTAATTTCTCATCATCTTCCTATAATATTTAACTATGATAACTTTAAACAGTACATAAAGTTTGAGAGTAAAAGAGCCACTCACCGTTGGACTGTCTAAAAGTCTGAGACAAGCTGGGGGAGGGTTATT